TATGTGCAGTGAGCAGATTAAAGATCAAGGGAAAGTCAGGCTAATGGACAGCACCTTCAATTTTGAAGTCTACAATGAGGAAGAAGGACTTACAAGGCACAAAGTGTGCCCCATTCAATCTTTTCTCTTCCTCCTCAATTAGCAGAATCCAGATAATCCTCTTCCTCCTTATCTCCTTCCACACCCACATATTTCAGAAATATTTCTTAACAATAACAAAAATAAATAATGAGAATGGTGGAAAGAGTGGAATTTCTTGCTAAGATCTTCACAACTCTTCCAACAGTTCATCAAATCTCTAGTCATGACCTATGACAGCAGCTATCAGCCTGGGTTTGGAATAAAGTAGACTGGAGTTAAGTCACCTCCTTCCTAAAATCCAGGACATTAGATAAAATGCCTGAAACACAATTCAACATAGCAACAAAGGAGTGTGAGTTAGCTAAACTGGAGTTGACCTTTATTTGAAAATCTGTGTGTGTAGTGGAGTATATTCTTAATAAATTTGAACACATTTTTAATATATTGTGATATTTTGAAAGAAACATGCTTCCATTGTAATAAAATTGTTCCATCCCTCAGCTCATTAAAATGATATCTTACCTGTAAACAATGTAATGTTCAATAAATGTCTCCATTATTTCACTGACACTTGAAAGTACTCATGAAATACAAAGAGTTTGTAAAATAAGTTTTCAATAGAATGTTATTCTAACAGGCTTTATTTTGATAAATTAATAAGATTCCGAATTATTTGTCTTACTTGCTGAAGTTGTTCTTTACTAAAAAAAAAAAAAAAATTGTGGTTTTGAGTGGCAAGACTGAAATTAATTTATCTGGATAGTAATGAGTGAAGAATAAATATTTATAAAGAATGCATGAAGGAAAAAATGGCATTGCCCTCCCACGATGATAAAATGAAAATAGAATAAAACAGAAATTTATATAGCAAATTGATTCTTTATATGGGGGAAATAATCACTCATACTTTATAAATTATGATTTAATTTATACATTAGTGAGTGATTTAAAACCTTAGACATATAATAAAACATTATCATGTTACATGTCATCAAATATGAAATTATCTAATCAAAGGTTAGGTTGAAGGTTTCTGGGCATGAGGAAATAATTTAGATCCTAACGTACAAATACTAATGACTAAAACAGTAAAGGGAAAAAGATTAGCCCTAGCTATCATAGGTGTATGCTAATGTCTCTTGAACGGGTTTTGACATGAGGAAGACTGATTTGGAGTTTGCATGTGCTGTGACTTCTACAACTTGATATTCTCCTTTGTGAAATGAATGTTTTAATTATTAATAAAAAGAGCCACCTCTTAGAATTAGTGAAAGGTTTCACCTGCATAATTTTATCTCATTTGCATGACAAGAGCTAAAAACTTTAGTTACTATTATTGTTGAATTTGTCATCTGATTAAAAACAGTGAAATATTGATGGTAAATTAATATAATCAATCCTGCAATTAAATTGGGAGGAACACTACTACTTAATATATCGTTAGCCTCATTGACATTCTATTACACTTAATGGAACCTCAATTAAATAACTTTAAAATTACCTACAACTCAACTATGCCATTAAATGAAAAATATCTTGACTTTACCTAATTTGAATTGATGGTGTTTTTACTTCATCTTGCTCAAGCTAAAAGCAGTCTCTGTGAAACATAACAATATGTGTAATAAAGAATAATAAAAAAGAAGCCAATTATTTTGCTTGGAATTCTTTTAATGTGAGAAAGAGCGTTTCATCAAAGGTCCAATGAATCAGAATCATACAATTGCTCATTATGCAGTTAAACCACTTTAATCATCCAGTAAAACTGAAAACCAAATGGACATTCTGAAATACTGAAGACTAGCAAGTTTATTTTAATATTAATCAAGTATCTGACCAGTTTTCTCTAAAAGTTATAAGAAAGTATCTTGCTTTTTAATATTTATTTGTTTTCTGTCTCTTCCACTACCACCTACTCCACTATGTGCTTCAGACATGGGGTCCTTGCTGTTATGTTCAACTTTCTTTTCCAAATGACTCCTTTTGAGTACTGTAACATGGTAGACACTTAAAAGTTATTAGCTAGATCAACAGGAGTAGAAAATTGAATAACAACTCTAGAAAATAATGGCTAGATTATCTACTAGTCATGATTCATTCACTATGTACTATAATCTTAAAGAGCCCCTCGAAATAAGGATTTTTGTCTGTTGCTTATGTTAAAAATATCCTCCAATGTAATATTTTTTTTTTATTTTAAGCACTAAATTAAATTGTCCCTTTTTTTTTTGTGATACAGAATTGGGTGATCCTTGCTTTTGAATCTAAGAAATTATAAAAAGGACATGGTGAGCACCAGTACATATTTACTAAGAAAATACTTATTTTCTTCAAAGTTTTAAAGACAGATAGAATGCTGAAAGGTGAGAGTCTGTAGACTTTTCAAATTCACCTGTGAGTGTCCATGGAAGAGAAAAAAACATATAGTAACATTAATTAATTGAGTGAAAATTATTAGTTCACATTTAATTTGAGGTATCTCATAGCTCAGACAATATGACTTGAAGTTTCTCAAATAAAATACTACAATATCATTCTTTAAAAAAAAAAACAACTCGGCCCTCCCTGGTGGCGCAGCGGGTTAAAGCACAGCACTGAGAATCTAAAGCCGCTTCCGCATGAGTTTGATTCCCGCCTGCACCGGAGGTGACCAGATGGCGCGGCAGACCTCTCCTGACCCGCCTGCTGCTCCCCTCCGCAGTGTACTTCGTCAATCTGCCTGTTCTGTTCCCCCACTCTGTCTCTGGTGAAGCCTCTCGCTGCCCCTGAGCCTCTGGCCTATACCCCAGTTCTGTATGCACAAATAAATAAATCTTAAAAAAAAATAAAAAAACTCAAAAAATTAGTCAGGTAAGATCAAGACTTATAGTTAATATCATGTATGCTCTGAAATTTCATTTCCCCCCAAAAAGATAATGTATCAGATATCACTTATTAAATGTAGCAACTGCAGCCAAATATTGACAATTGTGATTTATCTATGATTTGCAACCAAAGAACTGGCTTTTTTTCTTTCATCATTAAATTTCCCCTTATAAGTTTTTGAAAGAAAGAAACATATTTGAGGTGTTGCCAACAATTCAAATATCTTATTATGAAAGAAAGAAAAAAACAAAGCTTCTTAGTCAAGAGCCAAATTTAACCAAAGTCAAGTTTCTTATCTGAATCAGAGTTTGTATTTATCTTAGTCTATATAAATGTGTCTGATGATTCAGTGTTAACTTTGAATGACTCAAATGCTTTCACAAACTTTGGGAAACTGTTAACCTACTTTAATTAAGCCTGATAAGTGATTAAAGAATTTGAATAGCCTCTGATGATAAAGATTAAAGGAGCCCCTCCTGAATTATTCTAATTGCTATCAAATTACCTGCCCCAGGGAGCTTAGGAAACATAGTTCCACTATACCTTATTGATGTAAAGGAATCTAACTCAAAAGCACTTCAGTGAAAGGTAGGAGTAAGTGATAAAGGAAGGAAAGAAAACAAAGTATCTCATGACTTTGTCTTGTTCTGACTTTTATAGAATGCGTTAGTCACAGAATACACAGAAACATCTTTAGGGTATTTTGTCCCCTGTTTCCCACTAAAGAATTAAGGAAGTCAACTAAATCATGCTGCTTGTAGTCTTCCCACAGTATGGAGAGATAGAGAATGATGAAAGTATGGATGATGAGAAAAGCAAGGGGAAAAAAAAGAAGTAAAGAGGAAAACTATAATTTTTTGAGTGATCTCTACGTATGAGGACTACACTAAGAACTTGTCATACATTAACAAAAATAAATCTGACACCAAGCAAATATAGTATTCCAATAAAATAGATGAAAAACCTACGGCACAGAGATGTTAACCAATTGTCAGGCTCAAAAAATTAGAGATATAAATTTGGTTATAGACTTGTAACTGCCTCTATTCTTTTAAACTTATATTTCAAATGAATTCCAAATAATAATAGAAAATAACAGTGAAACTTCTAGGAAATGCTCTAAGTAGTGTTTCTACTCATACCCTTTATGGTTAGAAATATAATTTCCTACATGTGATAAAACTCAGTAATTTTATCTAGTTCATTATTTGCCTCAGAGAAAATCAAATAAAGGCAGAAATGTAGAAACTTCAATGACAAATTACAAAACATACATGGAATAGTGATTTACTCATAATGATGATGGTAATGATGATGAAAGCTACATATTAGAAAAAATATAACACATAATTCAAAAAGCAGTCTATTAGCTTGTTTTAAACAAATTCTAAGTAGTTGTTAGGAGACAATTTTGTATGTACTAGAATATGTTTGGTCAAAAGCAGGAGTTGATCACATTATGGAAAATGTAGGGTTAGAATGAGTGTGTGTATGTGTACATGTGCACACATGTGTGTAGGGAATTATAGTCATCTCTTTTATTAATTGAATTAAGTGTGTGAGTTTGGATCTACATATTCATTATCAACTATTTTGCTCATAACTAGAAATTGGCTTATATAATAATAATTTAAATAAAGAAAGCAACAAACTAATTAAAGTCAACTAAACTGGTAATTCCACCAGAAACAGAAAAATCTTCATGTTTCAAATACATGAAGTTGACTGTTTTGTAATAAGCACAAAAAGCCAATAACAAATGAAAATGTCAAATAAGCTTTGATAATTAGAGAGACAGAAAGCTAGTGTTAGACTTCTATTTTATTTAGCTGAACTAATCAAGCTAGACTTCACTTTAGAAGTAACTTATTTAATAAACTTAGCTGATATAACCTGATTTTCCACATCTGAGACAATCATACCATCTTATCCCTTAACATTTGGGGGGGGGGCAAACAAGTAATTCAATTTAAATGACTGTATAATTGAGTTTCCTTGGAAGCATACACATTCACCATTAAAAAGGCAGTATGTATAATTAGGAAGTGACTTACATATTTAGTTTCTCTACCAGCTGCTCTTGGAAGAGTTGTAGGCATCTGTATGAAAATAAAAAATAATTTTACTACTGGAGTAATCAAGAAAATACTGAACAATTCAACTTCTGAGGTAAGTGTTTACTATGCTTTTCCTATCAAGACTTTCTACTACTCCTTCATTTTTATATAAAATATCCTATTCCTTTGAAAATTATTTAATTCAACTGTAGCACTTCATTAATTTTTCATTGTTATTATTGATAAACTTGCTGGTAAATTTCCCCCTTTATATACCAATGATGTTCATTCTTGAATCATAATAATTCCTCATATAATTTTTAGATATTTCAAAATTCACATAAAGTATCCTCTCAGTAATTTGAGCAGTTTAACTTCAAAAATAGTCTCATCCAATTCACTTTAATATCTTCCAAGACCATTCCTAGACTTAGTCTTCATGACTAAAATGAGAAACTTCAGAAATTCCTAACATCACCCCCCTATCAGAATTCTGCCATGATCATGTTTCAAGAACCTCCAGCAATATTTCTCCAGCTTCACTGGGTCTTCAAATTCATTGACTCTTACTAGTTCCATTCAGTCTTCACTACCTCTTAGTATATGTATATATTTCATATTCCTACTCATTTTAATATCTTAATTTATCTTGCCTTTCTCTCTCCATATGACAAACTCACCTGCCAAAACAACAAAGCCATGAATAGACCTAACAATCTGTTTGATTTTTTTTCTCAAAACATTGCTAGGGAAACTCAAGCTACCTAAACAATTTCACTAGGAATTAATGATTGCCAACTTTAATCAGGTACTTAGTGCTACCTGGTAATGCTCTAATTTTGTGTGTGTGTATGTGTGTGTGTGTAAGCATACTTTCCCACTTTGTGACATAAAGTGATTGTTTGAGTCATTCTCTATTCAGCAAATGTGTACTGTGTAAACTATGTGTAAGAATGGTTCTACACCTTTGGACTTTATCAGTAAGCAAAGGAAACAAAGAAGGTCTGCCCCTGGGGAACTTATGTACTAGCAAGAGAGAAAACAGGGAATAAAATAATGGTTTAATTAAAACATATGTTAGAAGATTATAAATATAATGAAAATAAGTAGAAATAATTCTAAACCCAGAGTAGTATTTCTTTTAGAGGAAATTGTCTTTGCTTTTATCATATACCTATATTTTAGGGTCACAAGCTTACATCTTCAGATAGAATGGTCAATAAAGACAAGATGATATTTGAGCAAAGATTTGAAGAAAATAAGGGAGGTGGTTATGTAGATCTCTATACAAAGAGCATTTCAACAAGATGAAACCTGTGCAGAGTTTGAAAAGTGGATTTCCACTTCTGAGAACGGTACCTATGGAGCTCAAGTAGTCCTTTCATGAAAAGTAATACAAAACTGAGCAAAAATATTATAAATATTTTATTTAAAACATTGATGTGTTAATAAGACAGGGGAGAATTAGTGAACAAGTTCAGGAGAGGATGGAAATCCAAAAAGATGAATCAAGCATTTGGGACGCTTTTGACTTGGAAAGGTTTGTAAATAATTATGAATCACTTGAGCAGCTGATCTGAAGTTCTGACCATCTTAGAGCTTAGGGACATAAAAGGCAGACAACAGGACCTGCCAAGAATAAACTGAGTCACAACATTAGAAGATTTCAAATGACCTTCACTCAACCTCAAATCACTGCAAGTAATAGTTTAGAAAATATGATCTAAAATTTTCAAATTAAATTAATCTTTCTTTGTTAGTATTTTTAGTGTTTGAAAAGAAGCAAAAAAAAATTTCTACAGAAAGATAATCTGTGTTCTCAAGTAATTTACACAAATTAATTTTCAAATGAAATATCCAATAGATTCAGATACACAAAGAGATAGGAAAATGTGAATGAAAATGAGTAATAATAAGAAACAACCAAAAATGTCCACAAAGAATCCAAAAATTTGTTTTTTAGAACCTATTAAAACACAACTACAGGTCCTTCCTGGTGGCGCAGTGGGTTAAAGCACAGCACTAAAAAGCTTAAGCCACTTCCGCATGAGTTCAATTCCCGCCTTTCCCGGAGGAGAGCCACATGGCGAGGCAGATCTCTCCTGACCCGCCTGCTTCTCCCCTCAGCTGCTCCCCTCAACTGCAGGAGAACCACATGACGTGGCAGACCTCCCCTGACCCGCCCGCTGCTCCCCTCAGCAGTGTACTTAGTTGATCTGCCTGTTCTGCTCTCTGCTCTGTCCCTGGTGAATTCTCTCACCCTCTGCATCTCTGGCCTGTACCCTAGTTCTGTATGAATAAATAAACCTTAAAACACACACACACACACACACACACAAATACACTGAAACATATTTAGCCATACACACACATGCACACACATATTTGAGATAAAAATGAAGCTGATGTGCATACACACACACACGGTTAAATATGGTTAGCCATACATACATACATATATATATATATATATATATATATGACATATATTTGAGAAAAAAGTTAAACTTGCAATTTTGACAAGAAAATAAAAACTATAAAAAAGAAGTTAATGCACTAAGGCATGAGCAAGCCTGGTAGATTAAAGGCATAGCAAGGAGGTGAGCAGGGAAGAAGTGAAGTAATGGAGGGAGAATGTAGAGGTCAGATCAGAGAGTTCCTTCCATAGTCTTGTAGTAACTTTGGCTCATATTCTGAAAGCAACGTTAGATACTGCTGGTTTAAGCATGGGAGAGTCAAGGTTTGATTTATGTTTTAAAGGAATCTCTGTTTAAGTGTTAAAAACAGATTAAAGGAAGGCAAGGGTGCCTGTAATGTCAGCTCAGCAATATCAAAGGTATGAAATAATAATATTTACTTATAATTTGGGTCTAAAAACAGGATTTCTGTTAGAAGATATGTGAAATGTGAGAGGAGAATAACAAAGCTTGACACCAATTTTTCTGTCCTTGAGCAAATAAAAGCTTAGAATTCTAGCCATGGAAATAGTAATGCAGGATATGATATAGATAAATTTTGTAGGAAAAATTAAAAGCTAGATTTCTGAAAATCTAAATGGAAACAAACAATAGGTAGTTGGGGTCTGGCATATGGAAGAGAACCCTGGACTAAAGGTAAGTATTTGAAAGTTGTTAATAAATGCTTCATTTTCAAATTAGTGAAACAGTGAGAACAAGAATGAAATTAGTGTAGAGAGAAATGATAAGTTGAAGGACTGGAGGAGCACTCCAACCTTACTAGTTTGGGAAGAATTATATCAACAAGTGAAGGATACCAAGAAATAGCAAAGACAAGTGAGGCAGAAGTTGGAAGAGTGTGCTGTCCTGAAGGCTCAAAGTAAAAGTGAGCCCAGGACTGAGGGCTAACCTCTTCCTTTCAGTTATGTGGATACGTCAGCTCAGAGCACAAGTGGGTTTATCACAATGTGAGGGCAGCAGGAACTTGGGAAAAAGTGGCTTGGGCAACCTGGTAAGGATAGGTCTTAATGGAAGAGATTTAGGAAGCTTACAACTTTTCCAGTAAACAGCATCAGAATTTTACAAGTTAGCAAAGAATTAGCTAAACATTGGCTATTTAGCTGATAAATTAGAATCTCTCTTGAGTTAGTAGTTATGTGGATGACTGGTATGGACAGAATTACACTTTATCTTCAACAGTGGAAAGGTTAGAAAACACAAAGACTGGGCACCATGGGTTTGTCACACAACACGTAATTGAAATGAGGGCTTCAGAATTGGATCTTGAACTACGAACAGGTCATTTGGTAGACAACTGGCAAAATTTAATGTAGATTGATTCATATCATTATTTAATATTAATGTATTGCTTAATATTAATTTCCTGGTTTCAAAAATTATACCATGTTATATGTGATGCTAATGTTTAGAGAAGTAGTGCATAAGTTTTATGATGGTGCAAAGGAGGCTAGGTCTCAGCACTATGACGCTGTTACAGCCACTGCAGCTTAAGTTCGATCCCAGGCCAGTAGGTGACCCACATGATATGACAGACCTCTCCTGTCTCACCTGCTGCTCCGCTCAGCAGTGTATTCAGTAGATCTGCCTTTGTGCTCCCTGCTCTGTCTCTGGTGAATCCTCTCACTCTCCATGTCTATACCCCAGTTCTTGTATACATATACAAATAAAATAAATATTTAAAAAGTTTTATGGGACTCTGAATTTTTTTTTTGTAAGTTCAAAATTATTTCAAAATACAAACCTTAAAAGGCAAAAAATGGGCCCTCCCTGGTGGTGCAGCCAGTTAAAGCACAGCACTAAGAAGCTAAAGCCACTTCAGCATGAATTTGATCCTTGCCCCAGAGATGACCCACATGGCGCGGCAGACCTCTCCTGACCTGCTCCCCTCAGCAGTGTACTTCGTCGATCTGCCTATTTTGCTTCCCACTCTGACTCAGGTGAATCTGCTCACTGCTCCTGTACTTCTGGCCTGTACCCCAGTTCTGTATGCATTAATAAATAAATCTTTGAAAAAAAAAGGCAAAAAGTAAACTGCAAATGTTACATACCATTTCATCTTCCCTGATACAACTTAAAAAAGAAAACTACAAATCTTTCCTCTCTAAAATAAAATAAGCATGCAAACTGTAAAATAAAAGGAAAAAAAAGATTATAGCAAACACTTCACAATAATCACTATGTAGCAGAACAACTATCATGCTGACAAAATACTCCATAAATATGTTGTTAAAGAAAAAAACCTGAAGGAGGGGAAATTCTCAAGAAAAGATGACCTATAATTTTAGGTCTAACAAATCTATAATTTGAAAGAATAAAATAAAACCATTCTTAGGGATACAGACCAGAGAATTAACATAGTGACTTTTTAAAATAAGTTTTCAATATGATTCCAATAAGAAGAAAAATAATTCCAGGAAAAACATATGAATGTGTGAGAGATAAGGGTCTAAGAAAACAAGAGACCAAGAAAAAAATGTCACTTGTAGAAATTCAGATACAAAGCCAAAGAACAATAAATTGTGTGTGTCTGTATGTGTGTATCAAAAACAAGCAGAAAGTGAAAAATGCTCTATCATTTATTTAATTTTGGAAAAGTTTTAAAGTTAACAAAAAATAATTACTGTCTTTAATGTGTATGTCACTATAAAAATTAACAAAATTATAATAATAATTTATTATTTTATAAAAAAAAAAAAAAAAAATTTATTATTTTATAAAAAAATATAATATATAACATTTTCAAAATGTTCTACCAGTAGATGTGAAAATCAGGAAAAGCAAAATCAGGAAAAGCAAAAAAATAAAACATTTTAAATAAGAAATAAGATAACAGACATTCGTCCTACTATAACAAGGATTATAGTCACTGTAAATAACTGAAGTTCCCAGATAAATAGAATCTCAGGTTGAGCATAAACATGAAATACAGAAATGTGCTATCTCGAAGAAAATTTAACAAGAAGGTAAAAATTATAGAAAGGAATATAAGAGAAAATAAAAATATATAAATGTAATAGGAAAAAAACTAGCCTACATATATCTAGGAAAACATGAATTAAAAATTACACATATATTACCAATATAAAATCACTGTTTTGATATTAGATTTAAAAGAATGATATGTAAGTTAGCAAAACTTAAATAAAAACATGTGAATGAATGCCAATACATAAGCAACATTGTCATTTCAAAATATGCAAACCAAATCTAATCGACAGTTCTCCAGTCTTATCTTTCTCCTCTTAGCAACAATCACCACAATGTATTCTCTGAAGCTCTCCTCTTAGAGCTTCCTTGAGGCCACATTCCTCTGAATTTCCTCTTACCACAATGCCTTTTCATTCTTTCACCTCCAGCTTAGCCTATTCAAGACAAGCATAAAGGTAAGAATGACCCTCTTCTCTCCACCACTCCATACCACATTCATGGTGATCTCTGCTCCAAGCACGGGCCTGAGATCATCCACATTTCTCTCTTTCGCTATTCACAAACATACCTCCAAATCTGAAATCTCACTCAAAACCACCTGCATCTCTTCAGCTCCTCTGAGTACACCCCAATCCGGACACCAGCACTGATTGTCCCGCAGGGCTCACATCAAAGTAAACATTTCAGTGGTTTCATATAATTTGTCCCACATTTCTATCCATTCTTCTTTTGCTTAGACACACACCTTCATGCCACAGCATATAAGTATTTATATTACTGCCCCTAACCCACTCTTATTATTTCACACAGTTTACTCCTATAAACTAGGTCACTACAGTACAGCCATGCTGGCCTTCATCTTCACATATACCAACTCTCTCCTGCCTTGGGAAATTAGTTCATAGCTACTCCTCTGTCTGTGAGCTCTTCTCTCTGATCTCTCTATGGTTGGATTCTTTCCATTGTTGGGTTCAGCTTGCATTCTACTTCCTGATCCTGATCCAGACTCTGCCCCATAGGCACTCTGCTCTGTTCTCCTTAGGCAGCCAGTGGCAGGCCCATCGTAGGCACTTAAAAACCCATTTTTTACTCATATAATTGTTCTAAATTTAGTAGCTTAGTTTAACCCTAAGCTTAAGCTTAGTTATGCTTAAACTTAATCTAAGTTTAACACTAAGTTTAATGGTTGTCTAACTCTACATTACACAGTGGATTACATATTCAATTATGTATTGAATTACATTGACATTACATATAGATGATTATATATTTATTCAATAAACATATATCTTAAATAGGTGTTGAATCAATCAATAAAAATAAAAAATATAAACTCCTTGAGTTCTATACACACTTAAGTACTATTCCTACCATAAATAATAAAATATATGGTATTTTTATATGTTCAACAAGTGAAATAAAAAATATTTTTAAATATTTATATAGTATATCTTTAACAATAAAAGCTTTATATTTATATACTTAAAAGACAGAATATATAACAAAATAGACCACAAATACTATAATTATCTGTTCTTAGGTCCTCTCTGCCAAAACATGATTTCTTAATATCGACTAATGATAAATGGTTATTGTTTTTGTCATTTTATTTTTAAAGATTTATTTATTTGTGCATGCAGAACCGGGGTATAGGCCAGAGGCTCAGAGGTGGTAAGAGGCTTCACCAGAGACAGAGTAGGGAGCAGAACAGATAGATTGTCTAAGTTCACTGCTGAGGGGAGCAGCGGGCAGGTCAGGAGAGGTCTGCCACGCCATGTGGTCACCTCCGGGGCAGGCGGGAATCGAACTCATGTAGAAGTGGCTTTAGCTTCTTAGTGCTGTTCTTTAACCTGCTGCACCACCAGGGAGGGCCTGTTTTTGTCATTTTTAACGTATATTTATCTATAATGTCCCAATTCAAAATTAAATTTAATACAGTATAGTTTAAATTATACTGTACATTTAGAACTTACTTAGTATACACAATGTTTAATTTTTTAAAACACATACAAAAAGTGTTAACACTAAGTCCAAAAGAGGAAATAAGGCTGACCAAAAAAGAATCCTAACTACTAAAGAATCCTAACTACTATCGACAAAATAAAAGTATAACCATTTTGAAATTTGGTTCAGTACTAACCATTCCAAAAATTAATTTGGAGAAATATAATATTTTATTTTTAAAAATTTATTTATGGGTCCTCCCTGGTGGCACAACAGGTTAAAGCACAGCACTAAGAAGCTAAAGCCACTTCAACATGAGTTCAATCCCCACCCCAGAGGTAACCCACATGGTGTGGCAGACCTTTCCTGTTCTCCCTGCTGTTCCCTTCAGCAGTGTACTTGGTCAGTCAACCTGTTCAGCTTCCTACTCTGTCTCTGTGAATCCTCTCACTGCCCCTGCACCTCTGGCCTGTACCCCAGTTCTCTATGCATAAAGAAATAATCTTTTTTAAAAATGATTTATATACTTTTTACATTGTTACTCAGTCTCCCCTCAGATGTAATATCCATGAAATTACCACCACCAAGACGTTCATGAACCATCATCATAGTCTCCACAGTTTCTTGTGCTTGTCCCTCCTGTTTTGATCCCTTTTATTTACCATCCCTAGAAATGTAATATTTTCTCTCAATAAATGAAAATGTCTACATTATAAGAAGGACATAGTTAAGTACTGAACTATAACCTTATAACTTAGTAGGATTTTAAGTGAAAGAATTCTAAGTCCATCCAAGTAAAAAAGCGAATGAAATGCAATCAACAAAAAAGGGCAAAAAAAATCAGGAATATTACCTGCACTTAAATTCCTAGACTAAACTGGTTCAGTCTAATTCATTTTCCAATACTAAGTGAATGTGAATTAGAGAAAGACTGATGCTATGATTTGAGATGAGAATAAAACACAAATTTTATACATAGCTTCAGATAGCTTCCTAAAATGCCAACATAGTGCATCACAATCTGATAAGCTGTTTTCAAACTTTTCTGAATTTAACCAGCAGTTAACAAAAGGTTTTATGCAGAAAACCTGTACCCACAAACTAATATATCTACATGTAAACAATCTAAAACAAATGTCAGCAAAACTTCGACACTGCTTGAGATATTCTGCTATTTGACATTCTGGGGAGCAGAACAGGCAGACTGATGAAGTACACTTCTGAGGTGAGCAGCAAGCGAAACAGGAGAGGTCTGCTGTGCCATGTGGGTCACCTCCCTGTCTGGGGGTCAAACTGTCACTAAAGCAGCTGCGGCTAGCTTCCTAGTGCTGCGCTTTCACCCGCTGCACCACCAGGGCAGGCCCACTATACTATTTTTTAATTATTGTCCGCTAACAAAAATAATGGTGGTTGCTATCCACTAAATCAATTTCCCAATTAACTAGGTCATTGGCCTGCAGTTTTAAAATCATTGATCTAGTAACTTGCATGGCCCAGCAAATCATTTAATATATTAAATATGTACATACTTTGGTTGTGTCAGAACTTAACAATGTCTGTAGGGATCTTGAAGGAGAATGCTGGAAAGAAAAGAAAAAAAGGATAAGGCTGTGATACATGATACCCAAGTCAAGGGAAATGAAGAGAAGCAAAGCAAATGTATGATTGCACACTCTAGTCTAAGGCATTACCATAGACAAGGAATCCTGTAAGACCTTATCAATGATAGCACAGAGCTCTTCAGTTTGCTGCCTGAGCTGTGCAGGGAAACACAACTGGAAGAATTGAAACCAGGTACTGAGTTAGCAATGAGTTTTGGGTCTGGATTTCAAAAGCAGGGGTAATGGACACTCTTACCTCAAGAGGTGGGTCTAGTGCCTTGTCTTGGGAGCCACTTTCAGTCTTAACTGGTTCATCCAGTGCCTAGTGATAAAGGAGACAGTTCTGATGTGAGGCTTTTACTCTAATACAAATGTAGTAGAAAAGTCTATTCAAAGCAAGTCCTGCATAGCTCACTATTTTCAAGAAAAAAAAAAACCACACATTTTAATCATTTAAACAGCTAGTCTCTGACCTGGAGGCATTTTTCACATTTGTGCAATTTCTCCTGAGTAAATAATGTCTTTAACATAAAGTTTTGTAGTATAGAAGTGAAGCTGAGTTTTTAAACAGGCAAACTATTGCCTAGAACTTGGCCTTCTTATACATTCAGGTGAGCTTTTGTAAGTTGAATGAATTCACCTTGGAAAGTTACACAAAGAAATAACAATGATGTGGCTATTTCTCAAAATATGCCCAAAACATTACCAAAAAATACCCTGGGAAAATGTTTCAGAGTGAGTTTACACAAAATATAAACACAAAAGAAAAAGATCTCGTCTCATTTTTAATCATTTATATCCAAAAATCTTGGCTAACTTATCCATCAGACTTGACTTCAAATAACATTGATCAACTTTCACAATAAAACATATGGTTTTTAAAAATGGAAAAAAAATAAAGCTCAGTATTGTGTATACACAATTTTGCAACTAAGAAGTCAAATACAAAGCAAAAAGAAGTAAAATACATAAAATGGAAACCAGTGTGTATTCTTCCTTCGTTTCTTCCACTTCCACCCACTTCCGCGACAGAAACTAACAGCTCATCAAGTTTTCACCTATCATGTCTTTAATTTTTTTCAACACACATACATATATCACTAAACAATATATAAGGTTGTTTTATGCAACTCTAAGTTTCATGTAAGTATAATTCATACTTCTGGAAACTGGTTTTTTTTTGGGGGGTAGAGGTTTTAATTTATCTATCTCTCTATATGATTGACATATAAAAACTTAACCTTCTTAATGTCTATACACTAGTGAATTTTGAAGTATACATCCATGAAATGAAATTTTATTAATTGTTTTAGTAATTTCATAGAATCTTTTGGATTTTCTATAGAGGAAATATAAGAATTAATATAGTGTTAGTTCCTTTTCAATTCTCTGTGGGTCTTCCTGTCTTCTTTATACTTTAATTTAATCAGTAGAATCTATGCCATAACCAAACCTTTACAGTTTAAACCACCATTAGGATGTTACATGAAAAAAATAAATATATTTATTTAGTGACATGTGCTAAAAGCACTACCCGTTTCACCATGAAATATGAATAAATATCTTTTTGTTAAAAAAGGAAAATCAATTCTTCCACCGGTTTGTTATGTTTCTATCATGAGCTTTTTCCTGAATACTTATCATGAGTTCTTCTAAATGTCTAAATAGCTTGCCTACCTTAGATATTAAAATCGACATGAGATTACAACATATTTTTACTCTGAATTTGTTAATACGATTAAGTTATGTTAACTGAGTTCCATAATAATAAGTCAGCTTTGTGTTCCTGGAATAAACCCAAGTAAATCATGATGTTGGTATACAAAAAAATGGTGGTTTCACTTGTTAATATTTTAAAGATTTTTGCATTTATGTGTTTAATGAGTTTGGTTTTAATGTTTCTCTTTTAATTCTTTGTTGGTTTTGATATAAAATTTAATCTAGCTTTATAAATTGGTTATTGAAGTTACCTTTTTTTTTTTAAGATTTATTTATACATACAGAACTGGGGCACGTACAGGCCAGAGATGCGGAGAGTGAGAGGCTTCACCAGAGACAGAGTGGGGAGCAGAACAGGCAGATCGACGAAGTACACCACTGAGGGCAGCAGTGGGCTGGTCAGGAGAGGTCTGCCACGCCATGTGGTCACCTCCGGGGCAGGCGGGAATAGAACTCATGCAGAAGTGGCTTAAGTTTCTTAGTGCAGTGCTTTAACCCGCTGCGCCACCAAGGAGGACCTGAAGTTACCTTTTTAAATCATCCTACAAATTTGTGTAAGACTGAATCTTTTCTGCAAAATACCTATAAAGTCCTCTGAGCTAATATAATTATACAGGCAATTATACAGGCAGATATTTTTAAATCTGTAATTAATACCTATTAATTAATTAATACTTATTAATGGTTTTAAGAAATACAACTGTTTTGAGTTAGTTTTATAAGTTTAATTTTTCTAGAAATTCGTATCTTTTGTGTAGATTTTTCAACTTATTAGTTTCATATAATGCAGCCCAGACAGAAGACCGTGGCATACCATTCAGGGCTCCACAGGGGTGGTCAACAACCAGGGGAGGTACTGTAGTTTCATGAGTGTGAGGGATCATCTACTTTTGCAGAAGAATTTGATTGGCTTGTTTGAATAAGCAGTAGCCATACATGGTCAGTTTGATAAGGAGAGTTATTTGGCCACAGTACCTCATCCGTGTGAGGAGAGTTAAGAGAGGCATGTGAGAGTTTGAAGGAATAATACTGGACCCTAATTTTAAATATTATTCCAAACATCGTGTCTAACTATAGTCATAATTACGGGGAAGAAAAAAGTTAGAAATTCAAGACCAGTACTGAGAACACACGCCTTAGGAGAAAAAACTGGTCTAATTCTTCCTCATCTTTCCAGTAATACCTTCTGATCATTTCTCATTTACATGCTGATTTTCAGTTACAAAAAACCTCCTGAGTTCATTGAACCGCTGGTCATCTTTTAGTTATATGTTACTGATTTTTTTTTTTTTTTTAAGATTTATTTGTGCATACAGAACTGGGGTGCAGGGGAAGTGAGAGGATTCACCAGAGCAGAACAGGCCTACTGATGAAGCACACTGCTGAGGTAAGCAGTGGGCGGGTCAGGAGAGGTCTGCCATGCCAAGTGGTTCATCTCCAGGGCAGGCGGGGATGGAACTGATGGGGCAGTGGCTTTAGCTTCTCAGTGCTGTGCTTTAAACCGCTGCGCCACCAGGGGGAGCCTGATTCTTCTTTTTTATTCTTCCTCCATTTTTGGTTTATTTGGAGAATTTCTATTGTTAAGAAAGCTCCTCTTCAAGCTCCTTTATAATATTGTTAAGGAGGCCCACATAGCAGACAAATAGCACTTTGCTTCAGTCTCCATTTCACTTAAATTTACTGTAGCATAATTACTTTTTCAATTGTATTTCTATATTACTGGAACATTTGTCCTGTTACAATCAAGAAAATAGGATATTTATCTGAGGACATGATATGTGCTTAGTAAGAACTGCAGGATGAATTGGAAAGGGTAAACGTGAATAAGAAAACAAACGGAGCTAAATGAACAAATGGACCACAGAAATATGATTTTAATATTCCTCAGTAAAATTGTCTAGAAAAGTGGTCTAAACTCTTCATATTTAACTAACAAATTATTTTTTGCCCTTGTTATAATTAAATTTGTTTATCATTAAATATCTGAACATGTGATCCATGTTAGCACAACATACAGACATGTTTGCAGCCAGAATCAAGTAGGGTTGACTTATGGGAACTTCTTACAGGCAAAAACAACTTTCATTATTTAAAACAATGAATTTACTTACACTTTACAAAGTGAAAAAGCTCCCAAACCCAACCTTAAAAAGTTGCAAACGCAAGGGGACTGAAACTGAGATGGAAAAAAAAAAAAAATGAAAAAGCAATCTGTCCATGAATCTTAGGAAAATAAGGAAGAAAACTCGTATTACATCTATTAGATACATGATGCTGAAACTGATAATACTCAGACTGCATTAAAATATGGAGGGAAGGTGATTTTGAGTTTAGGTAGATTTAAAATTTACCAGAATTGATTTTTGTAACTGAAACACTGTCAAATTCACTTTGATCCCCCCCATCAAGCAGTCAGAAAAGACATTTTTTCTCAGTAAATTAAAATATATCCTAAGAAAATCTTTTAAATCTCTATTAACAAGAATTCTGACCATATTGACTCTTGACAATATAGTCAGCAAGATTGCATTGTTTTAGATTTATTCATTTTGAGTGAAGTTCTTTCAAAATATTTGAAAACCTGCATTCCCTACCCAAAGAACTCTAACCAATGAAGCATAAACAAGACAAGCTTTACATTATATTTTTTAAAGGCTGCTAGTTAATGTAAGTTATCAGACATATTATTATTTAAAGAATTTATATTTTACTCAGAATAAGCAACTTAGGGGCCCCAGTTTTTGTAAGGAGAAATAGTAAATATGACTGCTAATATAAAATAGTGTCAGAACTCATCGATCACATCATAATTAAGAAACAAGGACTATTAACTAGGGTTGTAAGTCAAATATTTATAGAATTATATGCCCCCCAAAAAACTATAATAGGTATTCCCATTAAATAAGCATCTCTGATAGAATTGCAAATACCTTCTTAGTCAAAGTTGAATTAGTCTAACCTGCCTTTTTTTGAAATAGGATAAATTCTAAAAATCTGAAGTTATGTTTAATTAGTTACTCTAAATAGAGTTAGAAAGCAAAGAGCTTCCAAACAAAGAATAATCTAAATGGGCCTAACATTCTTTGTGTGATTTCTACACTGTTAAATTGGATTGGATTTCAAAAATTTCATGGATAAGCTACTATATTTTAGTAATAATCAAACCAATCCTCTCCCAAAAATGATTCATGCTAACTTAAATGCTACTCTACCTCTAAGTGGTAGAGTAAATTATAGTAACTACAAAATCTTTGCTTAATATTCAGTCATTAATAAAATAACTTGTGTAGGACTAGAGATATTATAAACAAAATAAATCTTAATTTTGATTATCTAGTTGGAGACTCAGTTCTTAATAACATTCATAGCTGAAGGGTAAAATGCATAGAGGGTAAGTAAAGAAAGCTTCAGAAATATGTTTACCTTCCAAAAGAAATGTGAATGCTTCACATTAGATTATCTTTGATGACTGATTTAAATAATTGAGGATATTTAATTGTCATTTTTAATCCCAAGATCTTTGGAAAGTTAAATATCTTTTTCCTCCATATGTTTTTGCAAACCATGAGAGCCACCTTCAAACTCATTCATCAAGGCTCAGTGACACGAAAATTTATACTTTCCCTTTAGTTAATCAAGAATATCAGAAGGGTGTTCCTTATGTTCAGACAGCACTTTCACCACTGTAATTCTTAGTTATTTCAGTTATTCAAGAAATTGTGCTGCTGTGTAATTGCTCACTCACTCAGATCTTCTCAGGGCTAAGAGCCAAGTCACTTCCAATTCCCTCTAATTGTTCTTCACTAAAAGTAATAATATTAATTAATTAAAGTAAATAAAAACTTCATTGCCCTAATTTAATGAAAATCAATTAATTATATTTTATCAAGTAATTATAAATGTTGTAGACAGGGATTCAAAATCATCACCTCTTACTCAACATTTCACTACAGTTAGCTGATACCACTATGGCATAATTAGAGAAAGCTGTAGGGTAATCATATCCCATTTTGAGGTCCACTTTCAATAATTTACTAGCTTCATTGCTTTCATAATACTTGACATATGTGAGCAACAAATCTTCACAGTGCTGTGAGAATGATACAGCATTTAGCTCAGTGTCTGATACTCTACTATACACAGTTTGACAGCCATCTTGATTGTTTTCTTGAATTGTCAAAAGCAACTAAGACTCTAAGGCTAAAACCTACTTACTTCCCTTCTAGCAGAAGGTTCTCTGTACCTTTTCTAGGGAAGTGTAATTGATGAACTTAACTCTACATAAAGAAAAATTCTTAATTATCATAGTTCTAACTGACACACATAAGGTTCATTTGTTTATATAATCCTATGAACAAAACTTGACCTTAAAATTCCATGAGAGAAATTTGGAAATTTAGAGGCCTACCCAGGTGCAAACTAAATGAATTCATTCAATAAAAATTTAACAAACAATAACAAAAAAATCTATTGTCTCTCAAAGAACTTTAAAAAAATAAATATACATAATTAAGTATGATTTGTTAAGTAATTAAAAGAGATATGTGGTTGGCAGTTGATAGCCTGAAGAGAACTAGTTAATTGTGGATCTGGGTTCTGAGTGTTTCTCCACTGCTAAAGAAACTGGGGACAAATCTTCTTTCAAGCTAAATTAAGAGATGTCTCTATAGTATAAACCATATGCTAAGAACAACCAGATTTTGCTAAGTTTCTGAGACAAGCAGAGATCTTAAAATAGTCTCACCCAAAGACATATGTTTGATCAGATTGGGGTTACTAATTCATAATTTAAAAAATTAAACAAGCAACTTAGAATAAATATTTTTGGAAACTGACAAGATCTCAAATCTTTGCCTTTGTACTTTTATAGCACAGTTTTTATTGTTGAGTTCCAAGTGACTATTTTTTCTTCTTCCAAACAAAAACAGTATAATAACTTTCATTTGAGTAATTAATCCTATAATTTATATTTTCTGTTTACAAAGTTGAACTACTCTAGAATTTTTTTTTCAAATTCACGTAGTTTATGAATTAATTGTATACTGAAAATGGCAGAATGCAATGCTATTTGTCAGGAAAATGTTACCTAAGTCAGCCTTCACTTTACCCTAAGGAGGTCTTGTGAGCAAGAGAACAAAGAACATAAATTGCTTTCAAGGAAATAATTTATACTGTCACAGACAAATATTAACCTCTTGTGAGACAACAAAGACACAAATTATTTGGCTTTCAATGTATTCCTTTTCCTTCTCCTTAATATAAAATTGCAAAACAAAAAATAATAATCCATTTATTTAGTTTAACATAACCTTTCAGTTATTTTTAACTTTTTACTTATTGCTTTCAGAATCCTATGATTTGTAGAAAAGATAATTAGTAAGATAAAGATATCTTTGAAATATAAACATTTTCTAAAAGGATAGCAAAATGCACATCAAAACTAAAAATTAATATCCATATCAAAATTATCCTCTGTAGAGCTCAGTGTTGTTGAACCTACTAGAACAGGAACCATGGATAGTCACAAATGCAAGTTGATCTGATTACTTTGTGCCTGCTTTATATTCACTTGTATTTCATCCACATCTAAATCTTGGAGGAGATGGTTATTGGCAGGAGATTAACCAAAGACTCTGAAGTTAACACATTAAAATACGATGCATTACATTTTTCTCTTCCTGTAAGCTTTAGTTAAGACAAAGTTTAAAAAAAAAAATGTTTTCCTGATAGATCTTCAGAGGAAGAAAAAAATGGTAGGATATGGAATAAGCTATAAATTTAAGTTTTGAGGCAGATAATAAATTATAGAAGTACCAAAACCTTATGTTCCCTGCCAATAAAATGTACTCTTCTGAAAATTATGGGCTTCATCTAAGTGTGATTAAAGCTGAAACCAATCCAGTGATTCAATGGTAGCTTAATGTCCCATTGCAAGAGATGTCTGTATTTTGGAGAAAATCTTGCTTTTAAAAAATAGTATTTTTAATAGTGATTCTGGTTCCTTATTAGTTATACTGCATGCTATTTAAAAAGAAAATGTAGTGTAAAACCCCCACATTGAGGATTTTGTGAGACAGTTAACTATTGAAGTAAGACTTGAATTAATGTGTCAGTTCTACCTTTCAGGCATTCCATAGCATAAACTCTAACAGAATATACTACAGAATCACTTTACCCTTTAATTGTGATATTCTGTGTAATATTAAAGGGACCTCAGAAGTTTCATTGATTTGAAACATTTTAGAATGTTAATTCTTCCCAAAATAGATGAGTTCCTGATGATTATAGTCTTAATTTTTCCACTCAATCCAGAAATAAATCCCTTTGATTTCAATGGCAAAGGATGAGTTCTATTGTACAAACAGATGGCTTAAAAGGACTAATTTACCAGATTTATTTTTTAAAACTACAAGATGAAAGGAACAACATAATATCATTCAAGTAATACTGAAAATGGAAATGAACACAGATAAAATCTTAGGATAAGACTTCTGTTATTTAAAAATTCTTATTTGACTTCTCTTCAAAAACAAACAAAAATGAAAAGGCAGCAAAAAAAATATGTAGAATTAAACAAAGATGTAAAGAAAAAAATCACTGTACCTTGTGACCTTCAAACAATTAAAATATTTATAATCCAGCAGTAATTTATCTTACTCAAGAGACAATGTCCCACACTAGTGCTTACAATAATCAATCCTTCATAGAATAACATTATTCTAAATTAGATATCATTATACATTTTGTGACACTAAAAATAAAGACAATAATTTCCTAAAGAGTATGCTATATTCAAAATTAAAAATAGAAAACCTCTCCTCTATGAACTTGAATTCAGTGAATTACATTTATCAGTATTACCATACACAGATATAAAATGGGTTGGTGGTGAAATTGTAAATTAAGCTAATGACAGTGAGTATACAATACAGAACACAATACAGTGAGTATACAATACAGAACACAAAGAATGTAATTTTAAATCAAACACCTGAAGTGACCCATCCCCTTGTGGGCAAAAGTCCACCCAAAAGGGATTGGTCCAAAACAAGGCCCAAAAGCCCAGCCCACCATAAGACTAAAGTAATAATGCTTTATTTTTAAAGACTAAAACAAAATAGGTTATAATCTCTAAAATCCACTTAATTAACAGAGAGCATTGATAGTCGATAGAAATTCTGAAACCAATAAAGACACCAGTTTCATCTCACAGAAGTTTTTCAAGAAATATTATCTCATTTTTCCAAATAGAAAATTAGAGCAATACCACACAATTAAAGGAGCATAGGCCTGGATAGGTGATATAAGCACATGGGAAGGAGAGCATAATACTGCAGTCTCCCTAGTCTCCTTGTTGCTGGATTCTTAGGGAGTGAGTATCTCCCATTTCTGTGAAATAGACATCCGTCGCCAGCTTTCAGAAATGTCCATCTGAAGTAAGCAGCAGGTATGTGTAGGACAATACTACCACTATAATTCAGGCATTCAAATATAAATAGCATAGGTTTGAGGCCACATTTAGTTAATTTGGAATTACCAGAGATATATTCTATAAAAGATGTTACCTGTTTATATTCACCTATAAGAAGCTTCTTAATGTAATGTAAGAAATTATACCAAGGTTTTATTCCCCAGATCTTGCTAAAAGAACAAGAATCTAGATTCAATGTTCAAAATACCACTTGGCAGGCAAATATTAACATTTTGACAAATGATAACAGTATTTGAACACTAAAATTATACAAAACTGGGGTCGATGCACTAAGCAACAAATTACCAAAGTAAATATCAGAAAAACAGTATATGAAATGAATTATTTCATAGACTTGGTAACTGATTTTATTCCATTTCTGATATGATCCTCCAGATCTTTCATAGACTTCATCTGAGCATATGGAATGTGCTTATTAAACAAGAGTCTTTAATTTACCTACGGAAACAGAATCTTGTAATTTTATAATTAATGACTCTTACTAGCAAAGCAAAAATGCCCTGCATCCATATGAAAGCAGCTGGGTCACTGGAAGGATCCCAATCCTCCCTCCCACTCATGGTACTATCAGTGACTGCCAAGAACGGATAAATGTGTTGGTTCAGAATGGAATTTAAGGAGCTAAGTTGGATACACAGTTGACATATTTTTACCCTGTGGGAGCCACTACTAGTCACCAGTTGATCAAAGTAGACAAATGTCCACACCTAACTAAACTTTACCTTCACTCTGCATCAATGGGAATAGAGGTGGAAGTTTTTGACTAGAACATTTTAAAAGAATGAAGGATGGGGATCTATTCTCATCTGAATCAAATTTTCAAGGACTGTGTGTGAATAACTGGACAACTGCAGGGTCATATCCAGCCTCTTACAATACATAAATGATTTCTCCAGTTCTATTCACCAAGATGCTTTCATAATGTCATTCTAAAATAAAAGCATCATTTAATGTTAGTAAAAGCAAAACAGTTAACTTCCAAAAAGAAATTTAAGGAAACATAACAAAAATGATATGAGAAACATAAAATTCACTCTGCTTTTGAGCCAACACTGACCTTCTGCTCCAAAAGAAATATGTTTGTGGGGATTGCTGCAAAAGCCTTGTAGCTTGACGTGGTCTTGTATTGCTAGAATGGGTAACCAGAAAGCAAGAGTAGAGATGAAAAAAGGAAAGGATCCAGCATAATTTTAGATGAGTTCTACCAAGTTAAATGACATGGTATCAAATGAAGAAAAAAATATTATGCTTGAACAACTTGTTTTTGACAGAAAAAAATTAGCTTACCATGTTAATATTTATTAGAATGAAAAGCAAAGAAACATCACAGTAAAATATCAGTTAGCAAATATAAGCAATAATATGCTATATAGTTTCAGAACTTTAAAATATCGATAGACACAAAGTTACATGTAATTTTCTCATTAGCAGCATTTCCTCATAGAAGTATCATTTTATAAATGTGGTGGCTCTTATTGATTCTCAAAGGGAAGTGGTTCTTTTTATAGTACCATAATTAACAATTATTATGCCAGTAAATTTAATTTAACATTGTTACAGTCTCTTACATCATTCACAAAAATAAATATTGAACTATATAAAATTAGCATCAATTTCTTTAACAAGCAACAAACTATTCAATAATTTGCATAGAAGTAACAGCAATAATTTAATCCCATAATGTAATGGGAAAACTAGAAAACCATGCTAGAGCTTAAATTAATTTTAAAAACATCATTTAAAAAAAATCTCTATACTTCCTAATACAGTGATGATGAATCAAGTATTAAATTCCAGTCTCAGTACAGCTCAGAATAATATATAGTTTAGTTTTATGTGGTTTTTGGAGGAGAGTTATAGAAATCAAGATACTGTATACAATCAAAAGCCCAGCTAAATGTGCCCATGAGTGGATGAATGGATAATGAAAACATGATGTATAATCTGAAGAGGTAATGACCTTATGCTTCAAAATTATATACAATGTTGTAAACATTGCTTTACTAGAAATAATATAATTTAAAGGAAAAAGCTGGAGGAGTAAAAATATAAAATGCAACTTGACTAGATAAAGAATAAGCAGCATTAACCATCTAAATACTTGTAGACTTTAAAATCTATTATTAATGTCTCAGCATTTTGAAACAGTGTGAATGTTAGCATCTAGGAAGAAATTGAACATGCTTTTACTTTTCTTCAAGATAGACTTTTTAATTCATTTATGATGTTAAGGCTATATCTGTCAATAAAATATGCCAAAGAAGTTATTTTTTAAAAAAATGAATATGCTATGTATATTCTGAACTACAATTCATAAAAAAAGAATGAAATCTTTCTACTTCCAACAGTATAACTGGATCTCGAGGGCAATATATTAAGTGCAATGTGTCACACAGAGAAAAACAAATACCATGTCATCTGTGAAATCTTTAAAAAAGAAAAACAAGAAGCCCAAAAGATACAGAGAATGGACTGGTAGTTAGCAAAGGCAGGGGTTGGGAGTAGGGGCCAAAATGGGTGAAGGGTATCAAAAGATGGAAACTTCCAGTTATAAGATGAGAAAGTCATAGTATGGTGGCTTTATAATAGCACATTGCAGGGCCCTCCCTGGTGGCGCAGCGGGTTAAAGCACAGCCCTGAGAATCTAAAGCCGTTTCGGCATGAGTTCGATTCCCACCTGCTCCGGAGGTGACCACATGGCGTGGCAGACCTCTCCTGGCCTGCCCGCTGCTCCTCTCAGCAGTGTACTTCATCGATCTGCCTGTTCTGCTCCCCACTCTGTCTCTGGTGAAGCCTCTCACCGCCCCTGAGCCTCTGGCCTGTACCCCAGTTCTCTATGCACAAATAAATAAATCTTTAAAAAAAACAAAAGTAAATAATATCACATTTCTCATTTCAATGTTATTAAGAGGGTAGAACTTTTATGTTATTGAGATAATATTGGTCCACAACATGTTCTGTCTTTGGGAATATCGGACTTTCTCCAATCAAGTGTTAGTGCCACAGCACCATTAACAAAGCAGCAGTGGACTTAGTCCTTAGCACTGAGGACTGCTCCCTCCCCACTTTGTTCTTCTGCCCCGGGCACCCCTCCTGATTCCTCAGTTCTATAATCAGTTTTCCAGGGTTAGTTCTTTTTAGCGCTGTGCTTTAACCCGCTGCACCACCAGGGAGTGCCAAGGGTTAGTTTTTAAGTTTGGCTTTATCAGTCTTAAAAATTCTCACCAGAAGAATACCAATGTGTAACTATGTATGGAGAAAAATGCTAGCTAGACTTTTGTGGAAATCACTTCACATTGCATACAAATATCCAATATCATATTATACATGTGAAATTAATATGATGTTACACATTGATTACACCTTAAAATTAATTTTAAAAGATTTTTAAAGCCCAGTTCTGGTCTAGATTCCATGTCACTTAACTAAGTTCAAAGTTCCTGTCATCTCAAAAGCCTGTGTCTCCAGCCAAAGACAGCAGGAAATTTGTATGAATTGTCTTAGTCCCGTGGAAAACAAACCAAAGAGTCTGCAGAAAGACTAAGTGATCAGATCAAATCAAACCTTGAGTTTCATGGGTTAAACCTTCATTTGAATTGTATGCAGAAAGTATGAGGCTGTCACATCTGGTTCAACACCTTCATTCAAGATATAAATTTCTCTGATCCTTTGTCCAGAAACCACATGAATACTTATCTACAGCTCAAGGCAGGACAATCAGATCTAAGTGTTAGAATTGGTACAAAATGTTCCCTTACATTGAGCCAAAATATGTTCCCTGATAACTTAGACCATGATCTTATTTCTCCAGTGCCTGGTATTATGAAACATACCAAATTCTCTCTTTGTATGAAAGGTATTCTCCTGTTTTACCTTTCCCCTCCATGTTGATAATCAACTGAAGAATGTCACTTTCCTCACCACTTTCTGATGTCAAATCCCTTTGAGTTTTGGATTGGTGTGTATTTCACTAGAACTTTTTTTAAACACAAAGTAAAATATAATCATTACTTTCATGATATTGAAAATAAACTCAAAACAATAAAGACAATAATAATTGGGGTTATTTCCTGTACTTTGTTGGAGAATTTAGAATATATAGTAGTACACAAGATTGGGGTCATTGCATATTGTTGGATCACCATGATTATACTATCACCTAAAATTGCTAATCCTGGGCTCTCCCTGGTGGCGTTTTGGGTTAAAGCACCACATTATGAAGCTCTCCAAAGCCACTGCAGCATGAGTTCGTTCCCCAGGCAGGGAGGTGACCCACATGGTGTGGCAGACCTCTCCTGCTCCCTTCTCCTCTAGCAGTGTATTTGAGTAGATCTGCCTGTTCTCTTGCCCACTCTGTTTCTGGTGAATCCTCTAACCCACCACACATCGGCCTGTATCCCAGTTTTGTAAGCATCAATAAATAAATCTTTCATAAATATTGCTAATTCTATATTTGTAAAGTTGATTTCCATCTTTAATTCTGCTTTATTTCCTCTATAACCAGTAATATTACTTTAGGCATTAGTTCTATCCAATTTCACTGTTTAATTTGGTTTGACATTATAAACTAAGAAATATTTTTACATTATTTATGAACCATTCTTCTGACTATATCATGTTTCTCTTCATTCAAGTAATATACAAAGAAGGGGAGCTCCTTTTCATTGGGATGTGAAAACCTGGTAGGTTTATTTGCATATATAAATTCCACACATTTATTGGGATATGATCGATCAACTTATGAATCTGATCAAAAGATATTTATTGTGTATCTAATATGTGCTTTAATACAGAGATTCCATAGTAAACAAAAGATATAAACCTATACGTTCTAGAGGTTATGTCCTAATGAACAGAAAAAAATGATAAACAAATAATTAAGCAAGCAAAAGAAAATTCATAAAGAGATAAATAATATACAGAAAAACTAATGTAATCGAGTCGTTTGGGCACTTCAAGCCCAAACACATAGAAATATGTCATTAAACTTTTCACATTTCTCCTTGATCACAATATAAAAGATACCACAAAAGTTAGAATTTGGAAGATATTCATAAGTATCTGCTGATTAAGATGTCTGACATGCAGTAATAACTGTTTTTGTAATAAACATTTACAAACTAAGAAAATAAGCCTTGATTTTCAAATTTTTCCTTCCTTCTTTTGTGTATGAAAAATAGAATATATGGCTCATATATTTTTCTCATAAAATTATTTCCTATAATTTGCATGAGTTACAAAAAATAAAAATTTTATTAGTTTTGAGATAGTTTACCTAGATCAAGGGATATGAAGTTATTAGATCAGCTATATGTTCTTTTTAGCTCCTTATCTATCTTAAATGTTATGCATCTCTCAGACACATGTATTCTTTCTACAATCTGAAACCCATTTCTTTGCCATGAGAGATACCTTGTCTTCACTATATTTTGCCTCCGTTCTTCTGACAATGTATACTCAATACAATTAATGGACTTCTTTATTCTAATTTGGACCTTACTTCTTCTGTAGCATTCCAAGACTTCCAGATTTTTAGACCAAATACACTGGTTTCTTTTTTGCTTTAAAATTACCTATTCAAGGTAATTACAACTTGAATCACAGAATTTAGTAATACAGTCTTGAATTGCCAGCCAAATAGTCAATCCAGTAAGATATTATTGACACCTATTGTAACTTATGGTTTTAGTAAATATTCAATAAATATTTCTTACATACATACTCAAAGACAGGTACAGGGCAAGAGTTTAGGTTTAGAAAAGCAAATGGCATTATATTATATAAATTTATAAGAGCTAGTCCTATTTATCCATGAATACTAGATGTTTCAACATAAATAATGGATGGGGAAGTCAGAAAGAATGCATCTCTCACCTTCAAAAAACCATTCCCACCTCTCTTCTACTCCCTTCTTCTAATTGCTAAAGTTCAACAATCAGCTCCAGTAATAAGACCCAGAAAATCTCAGGGAAAACTATTGTCTTGAAATGTGGGGTTTGAACTCCTAGTTATATTGTATTTCAAATGCAGATGAGTGGCAGAATCCCAGATAACAAAGGAGAGATTTGATAAAGAGTCACCCTACCACCATGTCTATGTTCTGTTTCTAGAAGCACCAGAAAGCTCCTC